AARACACTTTAGTATGTTATTAAAACATGAGATCCTAACTTCAAGCATCTATAATGTCATTTCTTTCATATAATTAATAATCAAGAGTTAGCCTCGTGCTAATATTTGAGTCCAGACGTGAGGTAGAGTGTTTGGAATAAAATGAAAGATTTATCATTACTTATTAAGTTAAGCTTTTACGTGTAGTAAAAATTTAACAGCATAAAAATTGAAGGAAGACTAACCCATATGGCATCTCTAATCTCAGAAACAAAAGACGGGATTCTCTGGATGACTTGCGGATAAGACAGGTAAGTGAATGAACCAGCAAGATCATTTTGTCCAATGTCGATCGTGTAAAGTGCATTCTTGAATCCCTCCACATCAACCAAGTCTTTATAGCCTATATCAATCAACTTGGTTTAGAAACCTTAGTAAATGGTAGATTGAAGAGATTCAAATGGATACATTAAAACTATTGGGTTATCAGGTAAAAATGTGTCATGTTGAAGAATATACTTACCTTTCGAAATAAGCTCAAGGGAGCATGATTGAAATTGAAGGAATTGCAGAACTTGAACGTTCAAATTAAATGGATGATTCCTTGGCAGAGTGGATGAACCAGATATTGCAAAGTTAGCTCCATCAGTGAAATTTGAGCCCACAGATCGAAGATATGGGGTCAGATAATCAGAACTCACACTTTCACCTGTTGAAGAAAATGAACTTTAGTAAGAAAATCAAGATTCAAGACATTCTGTTACACATATAAGAGATTTTGTTCTGTTGGATCAGAGTACGTACATAGAAAATCAATCATTAGACGTCCATCACATAATCTTCCTGATGGTTTGTGGAAGAATGTGYGGCCATTTGGGGGTCCAAATCTGAGTCCAAGTCCCTCAGAGTAGCCACCTGTATCGGAATTCGAGTCCCCGAAGTTGAAAATAACCGGCTTTCGGCTGCACTGGGAATGAACACGAAGAGGATCAGGCAGAGAAAGTAGGAAGAAGATGACAAACAAGGAAAAAGGAAAAGACTTTCTATTCTTTTCAGCCATTTCTGTAATCAGATTCATTAAACCGCTTGTTTATGGTAACAAATGATCACAAGGACTAAAGAACGAACAGACAATGTCATATGTACTGACTAGTGGGTACTAAAGAGCCCAGTTGTTCCATGTGATTTGCTTGAGATTTCCTTRTGACTTAGCTAGTTTTTTTAAGCAGCCGAAGCCTCTTAAATTCACAAGAAGACAAATTTAGAAGTTCTAAAATATCTTATTTGATCTTTTTATATCTTTCATGATACATAAGATTCAGCCCAATAAAAAAAATGAAAAAACAGCCTCAWTTTTCATCCATCCAACTGACCAGAAGGCAAAATTTCAAGATCCATATAATCCCTCAAATACAAACATTTTAAGAGAGAGAGAGAAGAGGGAGAGGGCATTACTTTCCGAGAAACTACAGTTTCTGTCCGACATGGGGCAATTTCTCTRGTTCTAAGTCAAGTTGGTGAMAGCTTTAACTTGTAGCAGACTGKAGAACATGAAGACAAACTGCAAATCCTGTCTTCAAACAGAAGTGAGAAAACACAAAAAGCTGTTGAATATTGTTTAATTATTTTGTTTGGTTCTAGGCTCGCACTATTCCTTATGGTAGTCCGTGATTGACAGATCCCAGGAAAAAATAGAGAGACAAACTATGAGTGAGTGAGTGAGATGAATCTTATCCTGAATATCGTATTTTACTATATTATTCACAAAATTGTCATGTTTTCTTAAATTCAGACAAGAACCTCAGTTTTGTCCATACAGTACAGAGATTAAAGCCATCTATAGCAACTTCATATCATTTAAAAAAATATCACATAAACATCATGTTGAAATATAATAATGYCATTAAGATATCATACTGAAATAGCAGACATACCAGTACATCCCCCATGTCAGTTGCCCAGTAAAAGCTACCTGGAAATTTTCTCAATAAAATMTATAAGGAACGCAAGTGGAAAGGGATTCCTACAAATAAGAATATCGTCCATGACATCATTATATTCTAAGAGAACATGAGCACCTGAGTAACATGGAGATATACAATAAAGTGTACAAGAGTCTCTGAAATTCAGATTAACTTGAAAAATCCAATTTCAAAGTATATCCTTTTCACTTCTCTTTTTCTTAAAGARATGAAAGATATAAACGGTAAAATAATAACTTGACACAAAATATTGATGTCTTCTCCACAATCTCAAGTGATCATTTTTATTCCCAATTTKTCCTGATGAATGAAGCATTGACAATGCAATATCCTGAAGCATGGCTCTTGGACACGAATGYTGTAATAGAACGAATCAATTACAACAGGTCACTACCCAGAAGATTCACAGCATCGAGATCCCTGGAATTTTTTCTACAATTACACCAAGGGTTCCAATGTAYTTTACAAATTAAAACAAAAACAAGCTGCAGTGTTGTAGGCGCTTGGCTTATGCAGCCAGCCTAGAACCTTGAGCAGGACTTGGCTTGGTGATACAATACAAATTTGGAATGGCCAACTAAAGCTATTCGAGAAAACTACAAGCATATCGACCACCAGAAAGAGTTAGTTTCTCTGCTTTGGTTACTGCATCTATTGGGATAGGGCTGAAGCTTCGAGAAGGACCATAGAAATGAGGGAAGCTATTGGAACCATCCACAAGTTCATAAATCAATCCATCACCAAGCTGCAAAGAAAAAAGCTCATGTAATATCAAGTATAGAGAAGCGCAATGTAAGAACATGGAGAATGGAAAAAAAAATAGGCGGATAGAAAGCTTTACAACATCCCTGTGATAATAATTTTTTTAGAAAAATAATAGACTAAAAAAGGTCTGAAATCACCTTATTCTACATGGATGAATTGCATACAACTAATTTCTACTAATTGATGAACTGAGTTAAATGCATTATTCACATAGGTCAAACCAAATAACTACAAACCTAACTTCCAAATATACAAGAAGCCACTTAAGCATTACAAAACATTCTTCTTTTTTTTTAGAACTGGGAATCGGAGCTTTGCTCCCATATACCCAAGGGTACCCGTGCCCATCCCAGGCCCGGACTCGGAAAACATAAAAGATTTTTGGTATTAAACTCCAAAAGATTCGACTTTTGAGCTAGTATAACCAACAGACTCCAAGCCCTTTGCCAACTGGACTGCCCCTTGGGAGCAAGTATTAGAAAACATTCTTCAACACATTTTCCGCACAAGCCATAGATTGTTCCTTCGAGTATAACCAGGGCCTTAAACCAATGTTATTTGGTTAAACATATAATTTGTCAACATCTATATCCATTGTGTTTCGTGGATGTGGACAAGCTGGATCCCACAAACATACTTTTCAAAGTGCAGTCTTCATTAAACTTTTCATTGTAATAGTTGATCATCATATCAAAACCATACAGTATACACATGTAAAGATCAGGAGAAGTACAAAATCACATGAAACTTATGTTCTCCCTTGCAGTCACGAGAGAGAGAGAAAAATGTGTTCTTCTACCTTTTTGGTCTCAATCTGAAGGAGATACAATTCCTCCTTGGTATTCTGGAAGAAATTCTGCAAAGTTGGCTGGACCTGCAAACATAAACCAGTTTCCAGATCTCACTGTTAAATAATCTTATCATTTCTCGTTCAACCTTTAGTTCTCTCATAATCGAAGGTTTTCAAAGACTTAAGGGCGAAAGCCTGATATTGTATGTCGGTGAAACCATAGTCAAGGTCTCTAAATTAGATTTCAACTTCAAGTTGACGCAACCGATTCGTGTCGGCAAGCAAAAAGTTAATGCATACTTGTAATATAGTCAACCAAAATTTACGAACGAGGACAAAGTTTACCCTAAATAACAATCAATCACATCGCAAGATGAAATGAGGATTCCTATATCGTCGATAGAATGTAGCATTGTCGGTGGAAAGAGGAATGATGTTCTATGGCGACAGGAAAATAGAGATTCGGATTAAATAAGAGATAGAACCTGATTGAGGTTACTGAGATGAATGAATCCAGAGACGTTGTCGAATTCTCCGCCATAGATATGACCAGCGCTCCGCGACTCTTCCCACTCCTTGGATGTACTGATTCTGTATACAAACTCGTCTGCTGCAGCTTCCATTTCCTTGCTTTTGTTGATAGAACCTGCCTTTGTTGTTCTTCTTCTTGTTCAGTTTCTGATTCTGATTTTTTTGCCTCATTTAAGTTTTTTTTCCCTTTTTATTGGACAAAAAGAAAGAAAAAAAAAGAATATTATTTGTTCGACCACAGTGGGAGTCGAACCCACGACCTTTTGATCCGAAGTCAAACGCGCTAATCCACTGCGCTATGCGGTCACTTGGTGATCTACTCGTTCTCTGTTAATATAAATAAAGTTTTAATTGTTTTCCTCAAATATTAAACTCTCCTCACTTCAAAATTTCCACGTTATGATAAAAAAGTTTTTAACAGTATCAAAAATATATTAAAAAAAAAAACATCAGATATAGTATTACTAATTAATATTTTTTTAACTCATTTAAAAAGTGAAATAAAATAATACATATGTGTTAATTTAAATTTTTTATAAATTTTTCAAAAATAATCATCAATATTTCTATAAAATGACGTGGAGATTTAAAACCTTAACAGCAGTTGATGCTTAATTAGATAATGATTAATTCTTGTTATAAATATCGTATCGTTTTTTTTTTAGGAGAATAAATCTCGGTCATTGACAAAATTTTAACAAAAAGTTTAAATAATTACTTTTTAAAA